CTCGAGCAGCGAGCAGCAGAAGAGGAAGGAGGAGAGATTATAGGTCCTGCGGTCACTGGCTGGCGCATAGCTCAGCACGCTGCCCGGCTCTGCGCTGCGGCGGCGGCGGCGTGCTTCTATGACTTCTATGCAGCTCTGGAATTTTTTTCAGGCGGAGGAGTGTGTCGGCGGTGTTTTAGGGTGGATTGGTGAAGGTGGACAATCTTCACGGCTGCCCAAGTCCATACTATATCCGTGAAGCGAGAGGATGAGAGGTCGACTTTTTATTTCCATTGACCTTTCATGACTTAATATATTGGCAATACATCAATTATAACAGCTATTGTACCAGGATTCGCCGACAAATGTCTGGCGCCGATTTAAGGGTGTGTGGATGGGGCGATCGCCCGCCCTGTTGTCTCATGTGAGCCGCCTGAAAAGTTGGCAATTTTCGGCACAGAACCGCCTTATCGCAGGCAACAGGCAAACGGCAGTGTCCGCCCCCCCCCCTCCCCGGTCAGCCGGACCTTAAACAGCGCGTGGCAGAAGTCAGGTCCAATTTCCCATGGCATTTTTATGAACTGAACAGCCTAAGCATATAAGTATACCCTAAAAGGAAATGCGCTCCATGCGTACAACAATGAAGTAGTCTCTGTTAAAACAACATCTTATATTTATGGCGCCAACTCCTGGCAATATTCCATTGAGCAAGACTACTGAGTACTTGCATCTACTGCCGATTGTGTAGTTGTGTAGTTGTGTAGTTGACTTTGATGGCTTAAACTTGCTTTGGTACTATGCACTTTATGACAATCTCGGACAATTTTGAAAGCATGATTAAAAGTGGGTTCTGCGGTTCACTGCTCGTCCTCTGACCTTCTCCCCACTGCTTGCGGCAAGCTCGCGTAGGGGGAGGGGGTTTAATTGAAGACTTTCATAGCAACTTTGTATTTTTTTTTCAGTCTCGTGTGCTTTACTTACTACTGTACAACGACTACGCCGCGGTCGAGGCCGCATGACGCGAGCAGAAACTTCTTTTGACAGCACTATGCATTACATTATTCCTTTTTTCCTCGTATGTCGCTGTACAGTATGTGGTTGTGTCACCGTTAAAAATATGCACCTTCTCTAAGTGCCGTGATGTCAGTACGCGACGCGCGCAAAGTAGGCGTGGCGCGACACCCTTCAGCTTCTCTAAAGGTTACTTTTTTTCGCGGTGCCGGGTGCTTTCCTGCAATGACTACGTGTTTGTTGGCCTGGTGTTGCGGGTGCCGTAGAGGCTCGGGGCAACAAGCCCTGGCGATGCCTCGTCCGCTGTGTGTAGATATGATGGGTAATGGCCGCCTACGGTATTGTGGGAGTCTGCCTGGAGCTGGGGTCCGATTATGTTTGACATTTTGCTTTTCGATGTGCCCTGCTCCGAGCCACGGGGCGATGCTCGTGACGCGGCGAGGCGGGCGCCGCGTTTTCATGTTCATGGAAGGCGCCGTGCGGCTTTTCTGCTCTTTAGAGTCCGAAGAGAGGCGGTGACCGGCGTAAGTTCGATGCGAATAACCCCATCCTTCAACTTGAATGAGGGTCAAGACGTCAGTTGCGGTGCTATTTAGTCCGCGCATGAAACTGCAGAACCAAAAGTCTGCCACACACAACTACTGGCAAACTTGTTCAACAAGACACTGAATCGAGCCGAGTATTTTCCTTTCACACTTGGTTCCTTATCTAGCAAATATGTGTCGCTGTCAACAAGGCCCGAAGGCCGGGTTGGTTTGGAGGACTCATCCCTATCGGCACGTACTCTTGTCCGCATTTGCATCATGAGTTATTACTGGACGCGCCTGCAGCCAATGGCAGAACGAGAGGAGTACTCGCGCAGCCTATCGGCACTGTGAGGGAGAGAGAGAGAGAGAGAGAGAGAGAGCACTAATAAAAGCTCAGGGTGAATTGCATCCCTTAGGGTTCACTGTAATTATTCACCGTAAGCTTTTAACAGTGGTTATTGTGACTGACACGTTTGGCATCTCCCAGAAAGTACGCTCGTCATTCGCCGTTACGAACTCGTCAAGTTCACGCAATGCAAGCTCTCAGGGCGCCTGGTGGGTAGGCAAAATCTTGTGTGCAGTGCAAGCGTGTACTGCGGGGCGGCCTACCCCAGTCTCGCAGGCGCTGAGCTCCTGTCACTTGCAAACTGATATAAAAAGAAAAACGGACGTACTTTCTGGACGATCCCTCTGCCTGCCGTCTGACGCGCTCGCTTGACAGTGTGACATGTCACACTCATTGAGGGTCTCTCATCTTTAGAAGTGCAAAGTTTGTACACTTCAAACATGATCATTGGGTTTGTTCGTTC